AACAGCAGAAGAGAAACTAGATGAATGGGACCTTCTAAATATTAAATTTTTATGTGCTTCCAAAGAATTCTCCAAAAGAGTCAAAAGAGAACCTACAGATTGGGAAAAAATATTTGGCAATGGTATATCTCACAAAGAGACTTATCTCTAGAATTTAGAGAAAACTCCAACACCTCAATAACAAAAAGACAAATAATCCAATTAAAAATGGGCAGAAGACATGAATAGATATTTCATCAAGGAGGATATTCAGGTGGCCAACATATGAAAAAATGCTCACAATCATTAGCCATTAGAGAGATGCAAATCAAAACGACAATTAGATACCATCTTGTCCCAGCACTAGCAGCAAAGTTCAATAAGACAGAAAATAAAAAATACTAGCAAGGATGCGGAGAGATTGAGACTCTCATACGCTGCTAGTGGGTCTGTAAAATGGTGCAACCACTGTCGAAAGCAGTACGGTGATTACTTAAAAAGTTGGAAATAGAAATACTATTTGACCCAGCCATTCCATTACTAGGTATATATTCTAAAGAAGTGAGAGCCATGACAAGAACAGACATATACACACCCATGTTCATCACAGAACTATTTACAATAGCAAAAAGTAGGAAACAACCTAGGTGTCCACTAACTGAGGAATGGATAACAAAACTATGGTACATACACACAATGGAATACTTAATGCAACCTTAAAAAATAATGGAGAATCTGCAAAACACTGCATAATGTGGATGAACTTGGAGGACATTATGCTGAGTGAAATAAGTCAGCAGACGCTTGGCACATGGATGGATCAAGCCAAGGCATGCCACCACTGTAGATACCACCTGGTTTGAAACTTGCTCAGGCAAAGTAGCCAATAGGCTGAGTTAAGGGCTGCATAGATGGTCTTCACCCACAAGCCCTGGCCCTTAACCCTTTGGACAGATAGTTAGCCAACAGTCTGTGGGTTAACTATGTGGATCATCCCATGGCATACAGAACAGTGGAAGATAATGGGCAAGGTCTTGTAGTGGAGGCCACTGTAGCAGGACACCTGGGATTGCCTCCAAACCTTGGATGCTGGCCTATTTTCCATGGAGTAGCGATTCACCTCTTCCCTACTGGGAACCAAGAAACAGACACTATAGTATAAGTTAGCATGGTGCACCCAGAAGGGGAAGCTGCCTACTTGGTTCACTTGCAAAGTGGGCAATGCAGTGCCCTATTGGTTGGAAAACAGCTAAAGAGGCAGGCATAGCTGTAAAGTATAACTTGGTGACTACCGTACAAAACTGCCCCATGTATTCACACTAATGGCTCATATGTCTCCCTCATGATCTTGGACAAGTACATAAGGGAACACAGCCAGTGAAGGACTCGTAGGTAGATTATAGGATAAGGCTTCTTTGGCAGGTAGGTTAAAGTACTGCCTAAGGCTTTTAGGTTGATAAATTCAGTCCCACTAGCCCTGTACAGGAGCTCTGGAAGTGTAGTACCTAAGGCATTAGACTGTTAACCAGAAGGCTGGCAGTTCAAACCCACCAGCCACTCCTCGGAAGGAAGGTTGGGCAATCTACTTCTGTAGTGATACCGCCTTGGAAACCCAAGGAGGGGTCACTATGAGTCAGATCTGACTCGATGGCACATAACAACAACAAGCCCCGTATGCCAGACTTGGAACCCCAAGGACCCTCCACCCATGATACGAGTGACATCCCAGGCTCTGGAAGCAGATCTGCCCAGGTTGTGGCCAGCATGGTCCTCTGAATGCCATAGGACCTGGCACTGGGAAGTGGAACCATCTACTGGTGCTTGGCATGGGTCACCCCACCGGAGTGGATTGGGTGGATTGGTTATTTTGTCCCTCTGGAGGTGGAGGAAGTCATTGGCCTAATGTGGGAACCTACCATCCTGCTGCATGGAGGGACTCAACAGTCACACTTCACCTGGATGGGGACGTCGGCCACAGCACAAGGGATAAGTGGGTCTCCTTTTCTGGCATACAGCAAAACAGATGATTTTACTCCCGAACCATCAGGTGACCTCCATGGGGCAGCACATATGGTATAATCAGCCAGGGAAAATGCTGAAGGCAGTTGCTGTTCTCACCACCAGAAGGGAAGTGTGATCCTAATAGAAGGGGAAGAGTTACCCCTCTTGGTACCTACCAAACACCTGTCTTTCAGACCTGAGATATGTCCTACTCTGCTTTCTTCTCTCTGGGGCTGCCAATGTCTTCCTAGAGTAGGCTCACAGCTGCTGGGTCTGTGGACAACATCCCTTTCTCAAGCGCCTTGGAGCATGGAGGCTCTGGCCAGAACCTATTGAACAGCAATAGGAGACTTATGGGAGCATGTTTGAGCCTCTGTGACTAAGTGGAAGATAAAATGATTGGTAATAAAGTGCGTGTGTGTGTGTGTGTGTGTGTGTGTGTGTTTTAAGAGGGGAAAAGAGAGTAGTATTGTCTTAAAGTAAAATATCTGGTTGTGCCTGAATGTAAAAGATAGTAAGACCTAAACTTGAAAGTGTGTAGTAAGTTGTAGAAGGCTTGGGAAGAAGATAACTTTATTTGCCTTGGTTTATAACATCTGCAAATAACCAGTTTGAAAAGAAACAATGAAATGTTCTGATTTACTCATAAGACAGAAAAAACACTAGTGAATCTTTCACTCCAAAATGTTATACTGGTGTTATCTTTTATTAAAATAGCAGTGAGATCATAGTGTAAAAGGGGTGAAGTGAGGTGGACTCACCACAGTGTTTTCCACTGGCATGATTACCTTTTGACTGGTTTTGTTCCTTCTCTTGGCTCTGTAGAAGTGATGGGACAAACTGAAGCTCTGCCCAGTTTTCCTCCATAGGCCCTGAACAACAGCAGGGAAAGCTTGCAGCTATGAACTGCAGCCACCCAAAAGAGGCAGGCAGTCCTGCAGAGCTGGGTGGCTCTGGATATTCTGATGGCTGCTCAAAACGGGACATGTACTGTAGAGAAGAATGAATGTTGCACCTACATACCAGACTACTACCAGGATATTACTGATTTGCTAGGCCACAAGAAGAAGCCAATAGGGCCCCTGGACACACGTGGTTGGTCTGCTGTGGCCATCCACTTTCCTCCTTCTCCTCTAGCTGCCGAGGGTTTTTGCTGGGTGTTGCCCTTTTCCGGGACATAGGGTTGTTTGGCTGTGTTTGCCTATATTGTTGCTGTGGCCTGTGCCTCCAGCTGCAGGAACGCTGCTGTCTCTAACTACAGTTATAGTGCTTTGCCTCAGGGTCCTCAGAGACCCTGCAGAAGAGGAGGGTGTGCCAGATTGTAAGAACCAGCCTTGAAGGGAAGAGGCTTTTGCAAGGCTGAATATGACTATGCTGTTGCTTGCTGCTAGCTCACTTCTGCTTGCTAAGTCATTCTTATCTAACACTTTCTGGGGTGGCCTTGGAGGTCTGAGGCCCTGGCACAAGCCACCTTTGTTTGCCAGAGCCATAAAAATCCTTGCATTCCTCTGAGGGGCATGGAGACTGAGTCAACCCTGTCACTGTCCAAAGACCAGGCTCAGTCAATAAACCCTTAATAAGACTCCTGTATCACTACCATAGAATTGCCAGCTTCCTTCTGAAGAAGGCACTTCAGACAAATATCAAGTTGCTGGTCTGTGCCCAGACACTCTGCTCCAGGCTCTTCCTGACAGTAGTGAGGTCCCCTCCCAACCTCTGTGGGACTGACCCTTACATTCAATGTCAAGGCATGGCCCTCCCAGCCAGACCACAAACCGACCAATCCCTTTGGTAGACCACACTCACTCAATTTTCATAGTAATTGACCAATTTCCACAGGGTCACTTAATCTTATTAGGTGGTTTTAAGCACCCTATTTGCAGAGCATACTGAGTAATCCTATGTAAGACTGTGGCCCAGCCAATCATTTTGGCAGAATTATAAACCCAAGGCAAGAAAGGCCATATATAAGAGAAATTCATTACACTGCACCTGCATCAGAGTGGTTCAGAGTTTGGCTGTTGTGGAGAGAAAGGACTGGGTCTGGGTCTTAACTCTGCCCATACTTGCTGTGACCTTCTGCAGGCCACTTATTCCTGGGAAGCCTTCATTTCCTCATCAGCAAAATAGGCCTACCTTAGACTGAAACAACACTTCCAAGAACTTAGCAATGTCAAGCTCTTAAGAAACACTCAGTGACCCCAGCCACTATTGTTAGAGATGTTTCCTATATAAAGTGCTTTTAAAAATCAGTAAGAAAAAAAAGATAATCATCTCAATACAAAAGCTGCCAGAAGACAAGCTTGAATGGGTCACAAAAGGACTATGCAGCCAATATATGCTCTTCTTTACTAGCAAAGAAAGTCAAAAGAAAACTATTATTTTCACAAGCCTTTGCATGACAGGAGGTACAGTGGGTGCTCAGACACTGACAGGCTAAGCTGGGTTCCCACCCTCCCATGCCACACTCTCTTGCCATCTGGTAAACCAAGCCATGCTGTCTGCAGATCTTGATATCCCCATCTGTAAAATGTAGACAACAGCCCAACCTTGGCTATGAGAACATGAAGCAGGCACCCAGACCAGGACTGAGTCCTTTCTCAATAAGCACTAGACCTGTTTGCTGTGTATTGAGCTTGACAGACAACCTTAGGGAGAGCACCCAGTTCCTGTGAACCTTACCTTCTTGCACGGAAACCCATGCAGGCTTCATCACCTTAATTCAGGAACTACCGTACCCACTCCACAGGTGAGCTTAAGTGTTGGTAGACAGTTGGGACTCCATAAACAACAGCTTTCCTAGATCAGCCTTTGACCCCTGCCCACCTCTCTGTGCAAACCCCAGTGGTGCTCTCAGGTGCTCAGGGACTACTGGGAGTACACTGGGAACATGCTGGTCCTGAGCTTTCTGCCAAGCTGAGAGGCCCTGTAAGGTGGCCACCCACCCCTACCTGCAGGATACGGTGTTCAGGCTCCTGGGGTCCATCTGCAAAGATTCTGGGTGCTGTCTTCACAATGTTGCTCAGATCAACTCCTGGAGAGGAGTGAAGGGAGACAGAAAACAAGGGGTCATAACCACCCCAGCCATACCTTGTGCCCCTTGGCTGAGACCCTTGCTCGAAGAGCCTCTGGGAGTCAGCCTAGCTCCTGCCCCCACCATCCCGGCTGAGCCCAGCACTGTGTCCACATGGGTATTGCTGCCCCTCAGCACTGAGCTGGCCAATCAGAGTGGAGTGAGGATGCCACTAGTTAAGGCTGGCTGACCACAGCTAGCCCTTCTGTGAAGCAGCCACATTCTACCTGGGGGGCAGGGGCTGTGATTCCATGGCCTCCCTTGGGGCTCCCCCTCCCCGGCTGCATCTCTGCCCCTACTTCCTCAGGACCCCCACTGGAAGCCTCCATGCCCATCACCTTCCAGTCACCCTCCAGCACCTCTTCCCCCTCTATGCCCCGGAAGTCAATCTCTAATCTCTGAGGCTGCATTCCCAGCTCCCTTCCCTTGGGTTTCTGTCTGAATTTGAATAATGAAGAGGGTGGGGTGCAGACATAAAGGCAGAAGACAGAGGACCATGTGGTTATCCCCAGCTTCTAGCTGCAGGCTCAGCCTCGACTGCTCAGAGTGGACATAAGGGCTGCTCTGTACAGATCTATCTGGGAGCCTGCACCTGTCAGGGGACCCTCTCCCACAGCTATATCTCCCTATGGGTCTCAGGTAGTCACTGGCTCCCTGTCCTCAGCTCGGGGTTGCTCTGGCATGTGTATGGGGGCAGTACCTGCTGTACCTGTGGGAGGGTTCCTGCTGTACTTATGAGGGGGTCCCAGACACGGGTTTCCTAACCTCGACCACACCCACTGTATACAGTCCCAACCACTCAACTCTCCTCCGTGATCCCAAGGAAGTGATAGTTGAAATGAGACCCTCCCCCAAATGTCTGGTGAGGCACAGGCAAGTACAGGTCCAAGGGCCGGTGCTGGGAGAGCAAGGTGGGAATGGACATAAAGGATGGTGAGGCTGGGAGTGGGCTGCAGGCCACTGACTCCTACTCTGAGTGTGATGGGCATGGTCAGCTCAGCTGAGGCTTCGACTCCCAACCCAACCCACCATAATAGGAGCCTGAGCTAGTATCCACCTTGTGATTCAAACTGCTCCATGGCCTCCCTCACGGCCTCGTCTGGCCCCATCTCGAACTCCTCGATATTCTCACGCACAGCTGCATCGAAGGTTTCCTGGCTGATTCGCTTGGAGGCCATCCTCACTCTGCTGCAAGGGGCCACTTCTGCCAGCAGATATGCCCGCCTGAGAAAGCAAGGTGACAGGACACCACATCATGGATGAAAAGGGGGCCTGGCCTCCTTGAGAACATCATTTGTGGGGGCCTCCACTGGGGCCAGAAACTACAATCCCCTGGAAAAATCGTACAATGGAGATCAAAGAAAGGGGAATGTCCCAACACAGCAAGAGCTTCCCAAAGTGCACAACAGAGCACGTTCACTCTATTTATCTAAGAAACCCACTGCCATTGAGTCAAATCTGACTCACAGCAACCCCCAATGGGTTTCCAAGGCGGTAAATCTTTATGCGAGTAGCCTCATCTTTCTCCCATAATGGCTAGTTGCTTTGAACCGCCGACCTTATGGTTGGCAGACAAATACTTTACCCACTACACCACCAGAGCTCCTTTATCTAAGAAAGGGGGGTTATTAACAAGCATCCTTTTCCCCAACACACGCTTATAATAAAAATAATTTTTTTTTAATAAAAATAAATTTAAAAAAAATGTTCTAAAGGAAGGTGCTTGTGGTGGTACAAGTGGTTGACACACTCAGCTATCAACTGAAAGGCTGAGGGTTCGCGTCCACCCAGAGGCGCCTCACGAGAAAGGACCAGCAGTCGACTTCTGAGACACCAGGTGGGGAAACCCTGTGGAGCACAGCTTGACTCTGACACACATGGAGCTGCCAGGAGTCATGTCGACTCAACAGCAACTGGTACAGTCCCAAACCCAACCAAACCCACTGCTATTGAGTAGATTATGACAGAGTAGAACTACCTCATAGGGTTTCCAAGGCTGTAAATCTTTATGGAAGCAGACTGCCTCCTCCTTCTCCCACAGAATGGCTGATGGGTTCGAACCACCAACCTTTCGGTTAACAGCCAGATGACTACCACACTACCAGAGCTTCTACTGGTAAGGTTGTTGTTGTTGTTGTTGTTATGTGCCGTCGAGTCAGCCCCGACTCATAGCGACCCCTCCTTGGGTTTCCGAGGCAGTATCACTACGGAAGTAGGATTGCCCAACCTTCCTTCCGAGGAGTGGCTGGTGGGTTTGAACCGCCAGCCTTCTGGTGAGCAGTCAAGTGCTTTAGCCACTATGCTACCAGAGCTGGTAAGGTAAGAACCCCAAAACTAGTAAAGGTAGTACCTGTCGGGGCAATGGGGGAACAGGGCAGGCAGGACAGGACGGACTCCTCTCTCTGCATGTCTCATGTTTGATAGCCTTGAATTTGGAACCATGTACATGCTTCACATGATTAGGAAAATGAACCAAAAGGAAACCAAGAGCCAAACCAGGCCGCTGGATCTTCACCCACAGAACAATCTCATGTGACTTTGAAATGCAGCCTCATGACTGTACCTTCTTGGTGAGGTAGATCCTAAGGACGGTATGAGCTGCAAGAGAAATTCTCCAGCCCTTTTCAGTTGCCCGTTTCGGGTAGTGTTACTTTTAAACTATGATACCAAACCAAACCCAAACTCACTGCCATCGAGTCGATTCTAACTCACAGCGACCCCCCCTTGGGTTTCCAAGGCAGTAAATCCTTACAGAAGTAAACTGCCCAATCTTCCTTCTAAGGAGTGGCTGATGGGTTTGAAATGCCAACCTTCTGGCCAGCAGTCAAATGCCTTAGGCTCTATGCCACCAGAGCTCCTTCTGAAATTATTATAGATGTGAAATAACTAGTCACCATCAAGTGGTCTCTAACTCCTGGTGACTCCATGTGTGTGAGAGTAAAACTGTGCTCCATAACATTTTCGATGGCTGGTTTTTTGGAAGTAAATTGCCAAGCCTTCCTTCCAAGGTGCTTCTGGATAGACTCAAACCCTCAACCTCTTCAGTTACCAACTGGATGTATTAACCATTGGTACCACCCAGGGTCTCCAGTAAGTAATGTGTTTCTGCCATTAGAAACTAGCATTAAAAGAAAAAAGATTTAAACATAACAAAAGCAAAGAAGTTAACTCAGTACTAAATTTGAATTGGAAATACCAATATGAATTCACAACATATTTCCTCTTAAACAAAGAAAAATTCCAATTTTCTAGTAACATGAACTGGAAATGCAAAGAGGAATTGATACCACATAGTTGGGAGTTCCCCTGATGCCAACAGTGGTCTCTAAATACCACTTCCCACTGAAGGACAGGATGTTGGCTTCAGAGATGGGCAGGACCAGCCTGGAGCATCCTGTGATATCACAAAGCAAGCAAGCTTTGAGAGACTTCCAGGGTCAGGGTCATATTAAACGACTCAGGAGCAAACCCCATGGGGTTCCTGTTAGCCAAAGATGGGACAATTGAGCATTCAAAAAAAAAAAAAAAAAAACCCACTAGACATCAAAATCAAACTCTCTAAGTCAATCCATAATAGAAGAAAAATAAACAGACCTAACTTGTTTTTGTGAAGACAGGCAAATGAGGAACCCAGCCTTGATGCCACTTCCCTTTATACAAGTTGGCCCAGGAGAATCAGAGATGACGAAGGAAAGGTGTGCTTTAAGGACTGAGCCCAGCTGATCACCCTGCACAGGGCAGACCTAGATAATAATCACCAAAGGCTACAAAGCCTGCAAAGCCAATGGACTGCTAAGAAAGAGCCAGGCTGATATTAACTGAGTCTCCCGATCAATTTCAACATCATCCAGAAGAAAATCCAGCCCAGGTTGCCTCCCGATGCAGACCAGAGCACATCTGTGGAGCAATCCTGCCAAAACCTCAAACCTGATAAGCTTTGGAGCAGTGCTGCCCACACATTAATAGTATGAAAAGTTTTGTGCAGTGGAGAGAACACATATATGGGAACTCTCTGTACTAGACGCTCAATTTTGCTGTAAACCTAAAACTGCTCTAAAAGGAAAATGTATCAATGCAGTACTTACTGATGTATGGATTACACCTCAACATAAAAAAA